TTTTTAAATGTTAAAATATCAGTGGGTATATGCTCAGAATGGCTTTCTACTCATGCAAATTTACATGTGGATCTTCTGCATGCATGGAATACCCAAATGACCTAAGATCAGATCAGATCACTCTAGGCGCGTTCCATTCGACCGTAAGGGGACTGTGAAGTGGACTTCACAGTATTCCGCCATTTTAAGTGAGATTCCAAGCCGAAGGGAGTGAATATGTTTGGTTCCAAGGGCACTGCGAACGGCATAGGGAATAAGGGAACATCGATACATCACTTCACAGGAAGTGGAGAGGGAAAATCACCCAGCTGTCATTGCGCACAGCGTCACCAGTCAGAACTAACGATGGAGCAGAGCCGTTAGAAGAGTTTTTAAAAGGCTCTGCAATGGAGGGGTTGCAATAAATGTTGTTATTATACAAATTAGAGGATTTATGAATGGTTATGGCCATGAATGTTACATCTGCATATTGTATTGTATGAATAGGTGAAACTAAGTAAAACCAGGGAGAAAGAGCTGAGGCTCTGTACATTTTTTTTTTTTTTACTTTATTTACTTCAGGAGAGTTCACTTTGAGGCTGCATGTGGGAAAGCGCACGAGATGAGACCACAACAATCTGTTAACAGTCTAAACATATACATTTTGACTGTATTAGATACATAATTGTAAATGTATTTTATATGTATTTAAATTTGAAATAAAATAAATTACAATGTTAATTTATGTTATATCTTTCTTTGATGACGTTCCAGGGCGTTCCAAATGAGTGATTATTGTCAGTGAGGTCCACTTCAACGGATATCCCGTGCTTAGGGAGTAGGGAGCAGTGAACACTGCGTAGGGACCCTGTCAATCGGAACGCACCTTCTGTGTGAGGGCCAATTCCCATAATGCAATGCTCTCATTTTGATAAATAAACCAGATGTGATATCAGCTGTAATTTTTCAACTCTTTACTAGTTATTTGATCATTGGCAAAAGGTCTTATTTTTGCACATTTTGAAGATTTTTATAAAAATTATATTTATTTTTTATAATTATATTTTTTTATAATTATAATATTTCTGACATACTAACCAGATGCCACTGAATTAAACAAGCAACATGGTGAAGTTAAGTGACAACAATTTAACATATTAATGTTTAAACAGGCTTTAAAACGTTAATCATGGTTTCATTCTAAACCCCAGGTAATCGAAATCCAGGGTTAATTTTCATGTTTCACATTGCTCATAATTTAGCCAGGGTAAACAATTAATATTCATATGCTGACCTTTCATACTTTACTTTCCAAAAACCCGGGTTAACATTCTCATTTGCATATTTTAAGGTGTCAATGTCATTGATTGGATGAACGCAGCACACAGTCTGTTTACATAATGGCTCTATCCTCATATATAATGTACTATCAGGTTTTTTTCTGAATGGACTTTTCGGACTGTAAATGTAGGCAGGAAACGGTTTAGCTCCAACTGAAGTGTTTTTTTTTCTTTTCATTTCTCTTCAAAAGCTGAAACGATTTTCCATGACTGTACAAAAGCATGTGAATAAGAGCGACGCGATTGGTTGTTGGTTGCTAAGCATCTAGCTGGAACATTCTAACACAGCATCGATACCAAAGACTATAGAATACACAACATGTGTCACTCATATAGTTTTGAATAAGGAAAAATGCAACTCTATAATATAGAGTCTATATGGTTGCTCTATCTAAGGAAGCCCCGCCTTCTGAATAAAAGAGCCAATCGCTAATCTGTAAAGTCATCACGTCACTGCAGCTGCCGTTAGAAGTCCCGTGCTGCGTCCAAAATCGCATACTTCCCTACTTTATAGTATGTGATTAACAGTATGTTAGCTGAGTAGTATGTCCGAAAACTTAGGCAGCTGACTTGCTGCCTCGCTGCTGTATGAGGCAATGACTTTGCAGGCAGCGTTTTTGCACGAAGGCACCTCATGAAGCTGATTTCAGACAGGTTTCTGAGGCAGAGTAACGGTTTAATGATCTACAACAAAACAGAACAAGTTTTTGTGATAACTAAATGAATATTTAATTACTATAATACTGAGTTCTCGCTAGAAATAACATCAAAAGTGCGAAAAGTTAGTCAGAAATATACATTTACACACAAACTGACCACCAAACCCAATTTTCAGGCGCCATCTTTAATTTTTAGCTCAACCGTCACGGAATGGAACGCACAGGATTGTGGGATATCAAAGGCAGCGAAGGATACATCTATGCTGCCTTCAAAATTCGATCAGAAGAAGATACCTCCCGAGACAGGAAGTAAAGCAGAATTTGGATTCGGACGTGCCTTGATGCTTTGGAATGCTGCCTCCAAAGGTAGCATTTTAGAGTTTTCGGACGCAGCCCATGGGAGAGAACTTATGAATGGAAGGGAAGCGACGAAACGGAAACTGATGGGTCACGTGACAGTAGCACATCCGGATTTCATTCAAACATACAACATCCTTTTTTTTAACAGTCGTGAAGTAAATTTAAAAAAATTTAGTACTCAGTACATGATTTCAGATGCACCATCAGTTGCTATAGAAACAGTCAATGCTCTGAGACGCGTGTTTAGGACTGCGCATGCGCACTGGCTGGTCTAGCCTGAAAAATATGCTTTTTTAACGCCATTTGAGCAAAAGAAGCATTTATAAGACAGTTGTCAGATTTCATTCAAATATTAAATTTAATCGTAAGCTTGGCGAACAGTTTTGGAGAATTTGATGTTTCCCCATTCAAAGAAACAGGAGCTGCACTTGCATGCCCGAGAGGCGTTTCAAAGATGGCCGCCGAGTGAAATTACTTGCCTTAAAGGGACTTTGATTGACACGTTTGGCAATGCAATGTGGGATTAAAAAGCGGTGCTAAATTCGCTTCGAAATAATAGATGCGAAACGTTCCTCTCCCAGATAGCACACGTATGTCCGACTCTGCAAAATGTCTGTTAAAGATCGCTTCATCTGGAAAACATCTGCTGTGTACAAATATCTGATAGATATCTTCTAAATGTCTTTTTGACATCTAATAGGAAACGTCCCATAGACATATTGCAGATGAGCAAACATTCGTCTTGCAGATGTAAATGTAGACGTCAAATAGACATCTCTGTGATGTACGTGTGCTATCAGGGCTACCAGTGGATAAAAGCGGGGTTTAGAACGAAGTTTTGCACAGTGTGAAATGTGTAAAATAATATTTTAAACCATAAAGTATATGCAGTAAGTTAATAATGTACTCTAAAAATAAGCAAACATTGATGTCAGTGCTAGTTTTTCAGTGCATGGGACTTCTGAAGGGCCTCATCCTGTGTCCGCAGTCAGTGGTGTGATGTGCCAGGCCTGAAGTCACAGAAAAGCTTGAATTTGTCACCGTCTTCACTCAAGCACTTGGATATATCCCCCCCCACCGAAACCCCCGGCCTCCTGTTCCACACCACTTTGGCAGGAACAGATCTCCTCACAGGCTTGGAAATGCTTCATGGGAATTATGGCTGAGGCTATTACAGATTGTTCTTCCAAATGTACTGAGGGGCTGATGGTCTGGGCAAAGTGCTCCATCTTGGATTGACTGTGCATCTGTGCTCTCAGTAACAAAATGAGAGTGAAAAGCGTTGGTCAGCACGGGTCTTCGTCCCATCTGTCCATCCCGCTGATGAAGAGAGGTGGAAAAACTGCAAAACTCTGCGGTTTTTGCAGCCCAAAGCAAACGTGGAAAAGAATCATATGCATTCTTTTAAAACATTAATTTCTCAGTTTCAAGTTAAAAGGGGCAGTGTGGTCCCCCCCCGTATTGAAATAATACAATTAAAAAGCTACTGGCCAGAGATGACTACAGCATATAAACTGTGGTGTTTTCATTAAACAGTAACTTTATTCAAGTAGGGAGGGAGGCCATTTCTGTATCACTAAAAAGAAAGACACTTTGTAGGATTAACTGATTCAGTATGTTGAATATAATTGAATATGGATCCATGCACACTCTAATGGCTAATATTGCCCACAATCCATTGGGCAAAATCCTATGACCTATATGTCGGTCATTTTTGACCAACAAAGGTACATAGTGTTACTTTCTATTTTTCGACTCTTTTAACATATCCGAACCCTATCCATGATTTGTGTGTGTGTGTGTGTTCAAATAGCTAATGCGACAAGGTCACCAAGTGTCATCTCATTCCACTGAAGCAAAACAATTTTAAAAGAATTTCGGTCAAAAGTGACTTAAGAAGCCCAGTGGGTAAAGGGCATTTACTCAGGTTTCTGCATATCGTAAATTTCGCTAAATGCGACAAATGTAATTTACACAGTGTGAAGCTGCCCACCTTATCAGTGTGAGAATGAGTTTTTCCTGCAGTATTTAACTTAGTTCAGTCCTTCATGTTCTTGACATCTCAATGGTTTGAAGCTCTTGGCTGGCAATTCCTGGAAGTGCGCCATTAAAAGCAATCGAGAATGTGAGAGGATCTGTTTTTGTGTAACTGTGGTCAACCTTATCGTTCTGCTTCAAGTGTGAAGTGTCATAATCTTCCACTGCAGCCTGTTTGTCCACTTCCGGTTTAGTTTAGACAAGAGGGACACATCTTTGTAGAACTGGCATCTGGAAATTAGCAAACTGTAAATCCTAAAGCTAAGAATCCAGAAGAACAGAAGCTCAAGACAAAGGACGGATTGCTGGAAAAACTAGAATGATAGTTTAAGAGCTTACTTAAAACTGAGAGCATTTTCTTATTATTTATCCTAACCTTTTGTTCCAAATCTATTGAGTTGATACCATTTTAAGCAGATTCCCAGTGTGAAGGATTTTCCAAAATGCAGTCAGCACAATTATTCTTAATCCCAGAATGCATTATAAGTTTGGTGAAGAAATGCATGCAAAATGGTGTACGAGTGAGAAATGTATCAGAAATTATACTGCAAATTGTAAAATATATTCATAAAAAAATCGGTCATGTAAAAAGTGTCATGCACACAAATGACTCAATGATTTGCTACCTCTCAAAAAACTAATTTTAATTAAAACAAAAATGTTGAATCATTAACAAGTTTATAAAACAGTGATTTAGTTACATAAATAAATTGATATCGGTGTATCAAATCTGAAATTCAACTTCATGAGAATGTTGACACGGGTGAAGAAGTACAATCGTTTACCTTTCATAATAAATAAAATGGAGAAAAATTGTATTTCTGTTTCTTAACGAACAAAAAAAGAAAAAGAGCTACAGACATACCTCTAAGGAAAGGGACACTCGACAATGTTTTTGCACCAAAAAACATAGGAAAACTGCTTTTTAAAGCACAGAATACAGAACCATTCAGCTAAAATTAAAGACCGTAAAGTTGTAACCAAAGTCGGTTGGCTTTCATTTTTAACGAACAAGTTTGGTAGTTAGAACTCCAGTTTGGTTATTTTAAAGCATTAAGACAAGGCAAGAAAGAAGGCTGTTTTCGTTTCGTTGAGGAATCCTATAGGAACGACAAAAGGAAAAACAAAAAAACAAGAAACGTAAAAAAGCAACTAAACAAAAGCGTTTAAAAAAACTTTTGAACAGTCAGACCTACACAGCAACTTTCTGTCTTGCACAAAGTTAAGATGTCAGCAGATAGGCATGTACATGTTATTGTGCATAAAAATGGAGCTTCGTCGTGACTCGATTATTGTGGAAAGAAACAAGAGCGTCAGGCCAATCGCTCGGCATGTTTGCGTTAACATCGATACTGTTGGATCTACATTTCTAGGCGTTTTTTTGAGGCACATGGGCCTGCGTTTCTTGCATTCCCAATTCTTAATGCTAAGGCTTGCTGCTCTGGTTCACTGGGTGTCCGTCCAAACCACTGGTGCCCTGTGCGGTCGGGTCTATGCCAACGCATCCCAGACCGCTCGGATCGTGCATCGGAGGTGGCTCTGCATAGATACCCAGCACACAGGTTCACTGCCCGAATCCAGCCCCGACAGCACGGCTGTGTTCGGAATAACACGCTAGCGTACGGTTGCTGCGGCTGCAGTGTGTAGTATGGATACTGTGCAATGCGCTTTAAATGGGATGAAATGTGGAAAAACACCCAGGTTCATTTCCAAGATTAACTGAATTAAACATGCAACGTCATGAAATCACGTGAAACGTTAATTGTGGAATAATGCCTACCGTTTCGCATACTGTTTCTCACGCAGTAAGCAGCACGCTAGCCTTCCATTCCGAACACAGCCCGAGGCTCGCGTTTAGTCCCTCTGATATGTTTTGTTTCAAACCAAGGTACTGCAGCTTCAAGTATTTTGCATTACATAGAATATTCTTTTTATAAATTAGTTAACGTATACATTTTTTCAATATTCAGACATATACTATCATATATACAGTACAATAAAATGCTCTCATTCTTTCATGACCATTTTTTTCTTCTTTTTTTCCTTTTTTTTTCCAAAGAGAATCCCTGAGATGTATGTCGACAGTCGCTAAGTTTCCACAAGAGCAAGCACAATGGGGTTGAAGACTGTGTGTGTGTGTGTGTGCGCGCGCGCGCGCGCGCGAGACATACGAAACAGCACTGCAAAGCCACGCAATTAGCCTGGTGAACTGAAAAGGAAACTCAAAAAATGGAGAAGTGTTTTTGTTTTTCTCGTTTCTAACACTTCTTTAGTACACTGGTAACGTGTGACTGGTTCAGGAAGGAGTAAAGCTGAAGCCGTACGAGGTACTTGTCACTTAGGATGGAGGTGTTGTTTGGTTTAAAGCCATATTTCTTCTTCACTTTGAGGCTGTGAATGTTTAACAGAGAGATCTGGAGTGCTGTGAGGACTTTCGCCACTGGACAACATATACTCAGTGTAAACCGTAACATCGTGACATACTCTCACACGCTTTCACACAAATAAAGGGGAAATGCACAAACTTCCACAACATGACAACGTTCCACTTTTTTTTTTCCATTTTTTTTACGCAAACGTAAGTCTATACACATAATACCGGTGTGGTTCGTATTGTTTTTGTCGTTTCTTTTTTTACTTAAAAAGCGTACAAAGGTGGACTAGCCGAACCGCTCGCGCACGAGCATCATGAGTTTCTTTTTGCCTTTGTATATCTGTTTCAGGTTGTCTATGAACTGTGTGAACTGAATGTGTCCGTCGTGCGCCATGAGGAAAGTCTCTCTGGCTTTGCTGAGGAACTCGATGAACTCGCTGTAGTGCCGCGGGCTGATGTGCGTGAGCCGCGAGTGCGTCGTGTTGATGTAGGCCCCGATCGTAGCGTCCAAGAGCTGTCTTAGCGGGGCTTTGTCCAACGACATCAACTTCCCAGAGTTCCTGCGGCTGTGCAGCGCCACCATGCCAGGCGTGGTCAGCGTGCAACGCCGCAATATGTCCGACAGCACGGTGGCGCACTTGACGCTCTTCACCACCAGCGGGATGATGGCGGCCAGCTCGTTCTTTCCCAGCGAGTGGCTGAGCGCACAAGCCCACAGCACGTCGTTGATGGCGGGATGCGTGTCCTGGTTGTAGCTCAGGTTCAAATGCACCATCGCGAGCGTGGCCAGTTTGTACGCGCGCATGGGGTAGCCACGGTGCTCCATGTAGCGTGCGATGGTGAACAGCTGCGTGTAGCTCATGCCCGTGGTGGCCGCATCCAACACGATCTGGTAGGCCGTCTCGAAGGCGATGTGGTCCTTCTCGCAGAGCGTGAGAGCCGACAACGCGCAGTTCTGAGGGTCCTTCATGGCGCACTGCAGGGCTAACGTCCGCGCGCTGCTCGCCAGGTTCTCCTGCTGATGGCAGTCCAGGTGCAGCCGTACGATGGTGCTGTTGGACATGACCGTGGTGGCCACGATGCTCGTGGCCTCGGTGGGCGTGAAGAGGGTAAACCAGCTCTGCATGATGCTGTCCAGTGCGTAGACCCCTGCAGACACAGACAGGGGAGCAGAATGTCACTCAACTTCCAAAAAACAAAACTGTCCCTGTTTACTTTCTTTATACATGTTCGTACTGTGCTTAATTTGTCAGAGCACATAAAAAGTCTTCATGATATTTAATCAAAAAGTCATAAATTATATTTATACACAAAATGTCATTGAGTAATTTGTAAATGATTTTATTGATTAATTTAAATAATGACAATTTAAATATATAATTTATGAATTTATTTGATAGTATATAAAAATGTTAGTAATAAATAAATAAGTAATTATATATATTTTTATAAATTATATGATTTTTTACAATATTTTATATTTTTTATATTTGATATAATATGTATATATTTTACATTTAAATAATTGTATAATTTTATAATGTTAATATTTAATTCATGAAATTAATAATGCATCCATGATGATTTTCATTTTCATGATCAATTTTTTTATTATAATTTTTGCAATAGCTGTGGAACAATTTTTTTTTATTATTTAATAAAAGTAATTTCATTATATTATTTTACTATTAATAAACTTAACTATTGAATAGTATTTTTTAAATCAAAAGGCATTTATTGCAATTTTGTAAAAAAAAAAAAAAAAAAAAAAAAAAAAATTGACGTATGACTGAGTATTTCTGTGCCAAAAATCTTACTTCCGGGGTTCGTGCAAGTTTCGTAGAGAGTTTTACGATAACGAGGGTGGAACTCCTTATATGGAAATTTCTCCCGGAAGAGCGCGCCCACGCAAGCATCGACCAGAGTGAGAGCGAGAGCGAGATCGCACCCATCAACGCGCTTCATCCGGCGGCAGTGCTGCACGGGACTTGCTCGGGAAGAATGTCTCCAATCCAAAAGAAGTGTGTTTTTGGTTGTAAGGGAAAGATAACTTTGTTCAGCTTCCTAAAGTACCCAGCGTTATGTAAACGGGATACAGTTTGTTTTTCCGGGGCAGCAGAGTTTCACAAGTGTGTTTGTTGATGAATGTTTTATAAACAAGGCCCAGTTCGACGCTGGATTTGCACATCGTATCGTTTGATACTGAAAGAAGGAGCAGTCCCAGCTATAAAAGATCCCGGTCATGATTCAGAACTGCTGATGGTAAGTGAAACGGCATCAAATGTCTGTTTTGTTGGCATTCGGCGGCCAAGTGCTCATCACTCTTTAGCTCCGCCCACGGCGCGCCTCCAGGAGCTCGGCTTTTTCCGGAGAGAATCGTAAAGCTGTATATTTCTTTTATAAATATGATAAAACTAAAGACTTTTTGGAGATATGAAGGATGCAGTACTACTCTATAGGTACTCAAGATTAACATGAGATTGGGTGAAACTGTGTGTTATGCCCCCTTTAAAATTTCAATTTCAATAGCTGCAATTTTATATAAGCAACAAGTCACTCATGGCTGATTATTAGGTTATTCAACCCAGTTTCGCTACCATACCATGGTAAAATCACTGTAACAGCCTTGATTGCCTAATTGCTTTTTTGTAACTGGCCAAAATCTGGTAACAGTGAAAGCTGAAGGCTCAAACTTACCAACTTCTGTGGCACATGTGACTAGCCATCGTACCATCTCTCGCCGCCGCCAGTTCAGCGTTGAAAGCGTCATACGCATTACCTGCGATTTATTAGAAAAGAGAAGGTAAGGAAATGGGCAAAAACAGGTAAAGTGGAGATCACAGTGTGCTGATGGATGAAGAGGTGGATGGAGACCTGAAGACCCAGCTCCAGGGAGACCTTCAGCAGAGTGATGTCCGGCAGACTGTCCATGAGCGTCGCTATCTTAAAGGCATCCTGCGCCAGTTTGAAGATATGAGAGGAGGAGTGAATGTTCTTCTGTATGGTCTCTAATACTGTCTCTAACCTTCGAGCATCACCTACAAACAACACCGAAAAAAATAACGCATGTTAAGACATAAGAATGTTCTGTATCAATGGTTTCCACACAGTAAAGCCATCAAAACTATGAAATATAAAACACGGAAGTATGCAAATTATGCACCGACCAAAAAGAGAGAGAGAGAGAGAGAGAGAGAGAGAGAGAGAGAGATTTATATATATTTTATAAGGATGTAACGATGCACCCGAGCTGGTTGAACATCGATACAAATATGTAATGATTTAAGTTGGTTGAGATGCTAAACGAATCGCGATACAGTAGGGGGTGGCAGATTTCTCCTTTTTTCTCTCATAGTTGAGGTATACCTATGATGAAAATTACAGGCCTCTCTCATCTTTTTAAGTGGGAGAACTTGCACAATTGGTGGCTGACTAAATACTTTTTTGCCCCACTGTATCTCTCTGTCTGTATGAATGTATCTGACTGTCTTTAGAAAAGTTTAGATGGTATTGTCATTTTGCCTCTGTATAATCCAGTTGAGTGTTTATTAGTGCAGTGCTGCTTTGTTTACAGCGGTAACCAAGGAAACGCTATATTGCTGCTGTTCCCCAAGCGCCACCTGCTGTCAGAGAGTGAATTTGTGTTCTCATTCAGCCCGTCTGCTGTTTTTGTTTTGTGCAGATGTTTTATGTAATATGGTTTCACAAAGCTTAAGTCAGACCATTCTGTTTTAGCTTCAAATTTTAATTTAGATTAAAAATTTCTTGCCTTTTTAAAAAAATTTATTCAGCATCTTTGTTTGGATCATGAATAAAGTGCAGTGGTTGCCTCTAATTTTGAATGGAAAGAGCACAGACAAAGCCTTAGTTTGTTTATATGAAGAGATTTATTTGTTTTAAAATTTCAATCTAGTTATTTCAGTTTCACAAAGAAATGTACAGCATTTTGTCCAAGCAATCATAAAAGGACAACTTTTCATTTATAATTGATCTTAAAACTAATTTTGTTATCTGAAAGCTGAATAAATAAGCTTTCCATTGATGTATGGTTTGTTAGGATAGGACAATATTTGGCCGACACACAACTATTTGAAAATCAGGAATCTGAGGGTGCAAAAAAATCTAAATATTGGTTGCAATGCATATTACTAATCAAAAATTAAGTTTTGATATATTTACAGTAGTTACTTAATGTCCTAATTATTTTTGGCATAAAAGAAAAATCTATAATTTTGACCCATACAATGTATTTTTGGCTATTGCTACAAAAAAATACCGCGACTTAAGACTGGTTTTGTGGTCCAGGGTCACATATAATATGTAAAATATACTTATATATATATATATATATAAATTGTTAATAATAATTAATATATTATTTATGCATTCATTATGTGTGATGGATTCACACAAGTGATGGAAATTTTGACATGACTGGCCATTGTTGTAAACACTGCAAACAGGCACCAGTGACCTTGGAGAAACATCAAGCACTCAGAAACCCTTTTGCCCGTCTACAGCACTGCATCGCACGCACGCACACACACAAACACACACACACAGCTACACAATGAGCCGTGAGTCAGCACTAGTGCCAGACGCCCGACATGATGCAAGACGCTGAGAAAACCATCAAATGCTCAGTTCTGGGACAGGATTTCTATTTATCGCCAGCATGTTGATTTCCTCTGATTTCAGCTTCTCTGCACTGCGGTGCGATTAGATCTTAAAAATAGTGCTGCAGATTTGTAACTTCTCCAAGCGTGTTGTTTCTCCAAACTGAGGAGACGAATACAGGTTTGATTTTATGGTCGGGCTCGTTGTTTTGCAGTCTGCTAGCGGAAATGTGGTACACAGGCCTGCCATTAAGCAAACAGCGCTGTTGTCACAGTAATAGCAGCCTGCGCATGAGTGATGGACACGCTGGCCAATAAGCAAACAGCGCTGTTGTCACAGTAATAGCAGCCTGCGCATGAGTGATGGACGCGCTGGCCAATGCGACGGTCTAACCTTTGGCTGCAGTGAGCATGGTGGAGGCCAGCTCGCACTGCTGGGACTCGATGTGGCTGAGGGTGAACCATCGCGGGTAACGATTGGGGACGACTGATACTATATGGTGAGGCCGGGACATGTCGCCCGAAGGAGCCATGGATTCCAACACTGGTAACCTGCAAACAAAAAAAGACATACAGATCAACACTAGTGTTATTTTCCAAACCACAACCTGTGGAGGAGTACAGTCAATCATCAATAAAACACAACAGTGGTATAAGTAAATGTTGCATATTTAGCCTAAAACTGTATTTTTCAGGCTTTTCCAACTAATGTGCATGAAAGACGATACTTCCATTCCAACAACCATGATTTCTCCCATTTATTTACTATGAGTGGTCTGCTGTAATCACAGACTGTACAAGAAAATAAATAAATAAATGAATCTCAGGTATAGATGCATTAAAATATTTGTGAATCAGTTTAAACTAATCATTACATGTGGACAATATACAATATATATATATATATATATATATATTATTATA